GCCACACAAAACACTTCAACCACTTTAGCATGCTTTATCATCTTTTAAAATTGTTTATAAACCAAAGACTTATTAAACTTTATAAAACATTTATAGCATATAAATGGTATAGATCAAAATTAAAAAGATATTGCTGAAATGAAATTTTCATTTCAGCAATATCTTTTTTAATGAAATTAAAGTCAACTTTAGTTTTAATAAAATTTTTTAATGAAATTAAGGTCAACTTTAGTTTTAATAAAACTAGCATCCTGAGATGATACAGTTTTAATAAACCTATAAAACAGAACATGTTTCATCAACCCTTAACAGTCAATGTCGTAATATTACGCAAACTAAAAGTGGTTTCTGAATGTCCATGCCATAATATTATGCAAACTAAAAGTGGTTTCTAAATGTCCATGCCGTAATTTTATGGTTTTGTGCATCTCTTTATATTTCCTTCTTGTTCATCAGTAATTAAATGTTAACTTGTCATAAAAGTTATTACTAGATAATTACAGAGCTTTCGTTTCAATAATTATCTTTTAAACGTGTTCAATTTAATTTTAAATATGACAAATAAGGAAGTTCTATCGGTGCAAAAATAATTATCAAAAACTAAACATTTACACACAAAAAGATAGAATTTTAAACATTCGAATAATCAATAATGGAAAGATATATTTAATAAATGATTATTGAAAGGGATAATAAAAGATTCATGCTCAAAAATGTTAGGTTGCAAACACAATATTCAAAAAGGTTCAGGATACGAATGTGTAGAATGTGATGGACTTTTCGCAACTCCTTGCTTTTTACAAGTATCATACAAAAAAATACTTTAAAACATTCTTTTTAAGGTTATTTTTTTTAAATGAGTGGACACTTGTTTATGGTTGATTTTCTTAAAGGGATTTAAGTGTACTTCTACTCAGTTAGATTAAGTTTTTCCCTATTTAAAAAACCTTTGCGTTAATTGGTATTTGATTAAATAAAAAATTGTAATTGTAAACGAAGGTTACCACTTTTCGGCTTTGTTTTTTTTTATTTTTATTAGAATATTTTATTTTTATGTATTGTGAAACCTAAAGTATTTTTACTATTTCTTACTAAATCCAAAAAGAAAAATAGTATTTTTGGTTATAAGATGTTATTAGCAGAACTTGTTTTTAACTAATGTCAGTATAATTTTGAAATTTACGCATCTTATCTATAGCACTAGTATTAGTTTTGTTTTTAAAACAAAATAAATATAAGTTGGGCTTTTAAAGAGTTTATTTATTGATTGCGTTATTTTTAATCTGTTTAAAGTTTGGTTCGTTTTATAAAAAAAATTCTACTGCATAAAACTTAACAGCAAAGGGAAAACCCAAACAACATTTAAACTCGAATTTGAAAGTACTTTTTGTATGAAGTCATTTATTAACTCCAAAAGCGCATTATTTAGACCAGTATTTGGAACTGGAACTATCTGAAACTTAACTGAAATTAAAATGAAGTTATATGTAACAGGCCTTGTTTTAAAGCGTTACGCCTAGAGCGATTTACGTACGCCTTAAGGGATTTTTACGTACGCATAGAGCTGTTTTGGTTAAGCTACTTTTTATCATTTTTTAACTTTTAAATTAGCGGTAACATAAAAGAAGTAATTAATTTTTAAAAAAACCACTTAACTTTTAAAAAAACCACATTAACTTTTAAATAACGATATTTAAAGATATTTATTAAAAAAAAGAATTTACTTTAAAAATAATTGTTGTAACTTTTCATATATCTTTCTTTTTTATAGCAATTAATTTGACGCTAAACTTTTTATCCAAATATTTAGCAATATGAAAAATTGTTTGTCAATCCTTAACTACAAATTTTTTGCAATGTTTTTAATAGAAAGTAGTAATTTTTTAAAGTTTTCAGTAAAAAACTTTAAAAAAATCTATATTCCATATTTATTAATACAGAATATAAATGTTTTTTGTAATATAGATTTTTTAAGAATTTTTTACTGAATTTATAATAAAAAACATTTGCAAAAAAAATTTGTAATTAAGAATTGACATTTTTTTGAATATCTCAAAAAATGTCATAATATTTTTGTTATCATAATAACTAAAATATCAAAACATTTTTTTGAGATATTAAAAAAAATGTCTTTGCTTTTCTTATTAGTTAAAGGTATATAGATACCTTTACCTTTTAGTTATGCAGGGGGAGGGGGAAGGCACAGAAAAAAAAAATTAACTGTTACTCGCAATATTTGAATGAAGACAATTTGTTAAATTTCTTCTGCGTGCGATTCAATAAGTTTTTTTTTTTTCATAAATCAATTTATATTATAAGGTAAAGAAATCATGAGTAGACTACAACATCCGCTGATGATAATATTATGTTGAATAAATTTATATAACGGAGGTTTTATTATGCACGCGCACATTACAGGTTCCGTTAAATAAATACTAAGGCACATTTTAGTTTAATGACAGTCTCCATTTTTTACTAATGAATGTGTATTTTTCTTTATAAAACAAAACAAACTAGTATATAAAAACCTTGTATATTTCTATTATCTCTAAATTGTTTAAAGTTCGAATATGGATTGTATTTTGAAGGAAAAAAGATTTACTTTAATAACTTTTAAATCTTGGGACTTTGCCGATGCTTTGCTGATGCGATGATCACAGAAAAAGAGAAGACTTACGTTATTAAAATCAAATGTAAGTTATGTGATCTTCATTAAAATAAAATATTATCCAAAAACAATGGTGCCGTAAGGGCAACTACCTAACGGTTTATAAATAACACAAGTCATGTTAAAATATTTTAACATGTTACTATATTTTAGTTAAGTTGATATATAATTAAAAATAAAAATATAGTTCAATAAATAAATTAAATTTGTTCTTAACAAAGATTACCTCATATTTATTCTTTTTTTATTTTATTAAGTTAAATTGCTTACAAACGAAAAAAAAAGAGTTTTGTAATTATACGTAAAATGAAAATACTTTTGAGTTTGTTTATAAGTTAAAGAACTTA